AATGATCAGGTCCTCCTCTCAGGAGTGTCCACTAAGACCTGCAAAGAGCCACTGGGGCGGGAGGCCTGGGAGTGAAATGGTGCACAGCAAAGACCTGTCCTGGCCAAGAGGCAAAGTCACTGAAAATGAACTACACATACTGCGGGCAGGGTAAGGTAACATTCCCACTTACAAATTTGATTTAGATTCTGCTTTGAAGGATACAATAAAGAAAGAACGGAATACACAGTCTTTTGAATATATGTAACCTTTTGGAAATGGAACCAGAAAAAAAATCAAAGAAAGTTTTAAAAAATAATTTTTTTATTTTGGTTCTATATAGGATTTTTGATGCTGGTTATGAAAACAGTTTGTAATTATTTTTTCTTCCCATTTTTGTGGTTAAGAATAGTATTTCCTCAGAAAGTTTCTAGATGAAATTATTTAGAATGGTACGTATGTAGCTGGTTTTTGAAGGTAAAGTTTTTAGACGAGTATACTCGTCGACGACTGAAAAAAGAACATTTTGTGAAAACGTGTATACACGTTTCTGCCGGGGAAGGGGTTAAAGAGGTCTGCAAATAGTCCTCCTTTAAACAAATATGGGAGAAAATACTAAAAGCAGAAACTTTATTTTTTTCCTCAAGGTCCAGGTTTGTATTCGCTGGGAGACCTAAGATCTCAGGGATGAAAAATGCAGCCAGACACCCACAGCCAGTAAAAAAAAAAAAAAAGGAAACCTCTCCCCACCTTGGTGAGCCGCTGAAGGAATAAGGCGCACTGTACAGCGAGGAGGCTGGGAGTGGGGTCGGGGGTGGGAAATAAAAAACCTACGTCCAGACGACATGCTCCTGGGCCCCCAGCACAGGCTATACTTCTGCTTTCAATGGCTGCAGCACACAGACAGATAATGCAGAACAAAGGCCGGTACTCACGAAAGGGGCACGATGATGAGATAGGGGCCATTGAGTCTTTTGTGCTCCATCAGGTAAGTGATGAGTGCAATGGTCTGTATGGTCTTTCCCAGCCCCATTTCGTCAGCTAAGATTCCGTTCAAATTGTTATTATACAGGGAGACCATCCATTCCAGGCCCTGGAGCTGAAATGAAGAGTAATTGCTTCAATTACCCAAGATCTGCACAGGTAATTAATACTAATACAACTCAAGTGAGGCTGTGACTTCTTAACTCCATAGTGCTATATGCTGGATCTCCCACAGCAGGAAAGTGAGGGAAGCACCAGCACAAAAAGAATTTAAAACACCAGCCCGTAATCGTCCCCCTGCTTGGCAGGTGCCGAGTGCTAATCAGATTTAGAAACGATGGGCTGGAGCAGACGGGTAGGGTTTTAAGCAGCTTTGCTGCTCATCCCTACTTAGCATTTCGCAGTGTAGGACATTCTAGAATTATTATAAATGAAGAAAACCCAAAGCAAAATCCACTCCAACCACTCCAGGAACAAAAAGCCAATGCGAGGATTAAAGACGGACAAACCAGGGGGCAGGTTTGGCTCAAAGGTCACAGATCGTTAGAAAGAGCCTTCTTGGCTAAGGAGCCCTCCGTCCAGGGTGGGCTGCCTTTGGTGAGGAAGCCAGGTGACCAGGGAGCCAGGGGTGGCTGCTGGGCTGCAGGAGGGCGTTTCTGGCGGGGGGGGGGGGGGACGTGTTTG